AGAAGAAACTTTCGGTCACCTCATCACATGACCCACTACAAGAGGCAGCGTTCACATTTCAATCAAAAGCTAGACTGAACAATGTACCTTGGATCCCTGTTCGGCAAAGAAAGGCTGGCCCTTCCCGGATAATGGGGTGGAAGTTGCTGAATGTGGAGAGGACAGGTCGCTAAGCTGGAAAAGAGGGATGTATTTCAGGGACACGAACTGCTTCTTGCTAGTAGAAGTCATCACTCTCCGTTAGTTCAATGTAAGCAAAGACTACTCAGCAATTGTCTTTAGCGGGCAGCAAGCATGCAAGTCCAACAGTCACCCAAGGAACAGCCCCATTTAATATTAACCTTCATGTTAAGATGCTACACATTCCCATGTGCAAAGCGGTTTATATATGGCTGGGAATCTTACGCCCATTGTTGAAAGGCAAAGGCCATCAACGTTCAGAGGAAAGCCGTACCTTTATAAGCTCCGCTGGTCTAAACTTAGGATCCTCCTGTCCTATTCCCAGGAGACCTCCTGTAAAGGGTTGACTAATCCAGGTTTTCAAAAACAGGCTACTCTATTTATGTCCTTAGGAGAATTCACTCACAACACATGAGACACACATATTTTAAACAGGACTCACGCAAAGCAAAATTACCCCGTCTATTCCTGATGGGGCATTTCTCTTCTGCCACCCCTCCCTCTCTACACACAGCAAAGGTGTTGAAGTCAGATGCAGCTCTTTACCTGGATAGGACTGACTGGAGGTGGTGGCGGGGCTTTGCGTTTTTTTGGAGTTCCACTTCTTTCTGAACTTAACCTAGAGACTTGATCATGCTGGAAGGTTTGTAGGCCAGAAAAGGGAGGTCTGTTAGTTTGTTAGTAAGGCCTGTGTTAAAAGTTATATAGATACATCTTTAAGGTACAAGAAAGTGACAAAACCATCCATGCCTTATCTTTGGAATTGCTGTGCAGGACAATTACACACGTGTAACTAGGAACTCATCTGACCTCCTTTTGCCATTCATGCTCCAGGACATTAGATCTAGTGCAAATACTTAACTAAGCACACACTTTCCGACTAAAGTGGGCTCCATCACCCTGCTCCTTGCAGCCTCAAGCAGCTGGTTAATCTTCCTATCACTAGTGACTACCCCCTACTGTCAAAAGCTATGAGCAGAGAGAGAAGAAATCCTTGGAACATCAACTACACCGGAAATCTTAACTGGGGCAAACTTTAGAATTTCAATGTAACAACTTGGATCCTTAGCAGAATTTCTCCCATCAGAGACTAATCAATTAAAAGCCACAGGTCCGGTCACTGGAAAGGTTTAGTTTTTCAGCTCTTATCAAGATTTTGGTCTTCTCAATAGGCAACATGCAGGAATCACCCAGCTTGGGGACTAGATAGAGCACTACATTTTAGACATGGGGCCCAAAGCAGATTGACGAAAACAAAATGCATGTGGTTTTTTCATTTCCCAGAATTCAGGTTATTTACTTAGTCAGATGAGCGGTTCTGTGATCAAATGCTCAATCTGGGGTGCTCAACAAACAACACAGGGGAAGGAAGGATCTATAATGTGGGAGTTTTATGACTGACACATCTTGTTATTCCTGCTTTTTATAAAGGGTTAACAGTGCCTGTGCGCATCGGTTGGCAGCCAAATCAGGACAGGACTATAATGAATGAGTAAACTGTGGCACTTCCTTTCACAACGGCTTTCCAGTTAAAACAGCACCCGTTTGAAGAAATTTGACATAGATTTCATATGAGCAAACAGGTTCTGGGTAGGATATTTTAATCAGGAAACTGATGTGGGGGAGGGAGGGCCCTTACGTTGGGGAAGGAGAACTTTTGGCCTGCCAAATATCCTGGCTTACACCACCCATCTACCCCCATCCACAAGACCACTGCTAAATCAAAGTCCTACAAGAGGAAATGCAGTCAAAACATTCAGACCAGTGGTTTGCCACTAGTGGTGCACATATCTCATGTGGGACACCAAAGCACTCTGGGTGGGACACTGGATTTTCATAACAATATTAAGAATTCTGTTTCCTCCCAGTCCTCATATCCTCTCCGCAGTCTGAGGTTACTTTCTCCTTCCCACCTGACCTGTCATAGCTTATCCATTTGTGGTCTTTCAGCATATCAGCAGTAACTTTGGACACTAACTATTTCTTTGTACCCTGTTCCTATGTCCACCGACTTACAGCAAATGATACATGTAGAGATGGGCCACATGTGGCTCATGGAGAGAAAGAGGAATCCTATATCCATTTCTGATAACAACTACCATCTAATAGGCACTAGAAGATGATACAAGAGCTTAATAAACCTACAAATACCTCTGAATTCTGACAACCTACAAGTGGTTCTTTCCTATCCTAATTATTTTAATTCCTAAGCATTTCTCCCCCCCCAAAACAACCACAATGCTAATGCTAATTATCATTAAATAATGAAATAAAGAATCTTTTTTTACCTGCTTTGGACTTTCCTATCCTGATTATTTTAATTCCAAAGCATTTCTTCCCCCCCCCCAAAAAAAAAGCACAATGCTAATTATCATTAAATAATTAAATAAAGAATCTTTTTTTACCTGCTTTGGCTTGGTTGGTGACTTGGCATCTGGTGGAGAGAAAGAGAACTGTGAATTTTATGTTAATATGATATATGTTCCCTCAATTTAAGATGATGACACTCTTGATTGTAAACCAACAATTCTTTAGAAGGTAGCCCCACTGATTTCAATATAATGTAAGAGCTTCTGAAATCAGAACTTTAGTAAATGTTAGGGCCACGGTCTAACAGTCCAGGGGCATTTGTGCTTTATTTTCATAAGTGGTGGACTTTTCCTTTAGCGAAGAAGATTTTCAACTTAATCCAAAATGAAATAAGGAGTCACAAGTCCTGCACCCTGATCTCAGAGTTAACCCTCCCGAGGGCCTACATTAACTCTAACAGATATATTTGTTATAAAGATTCTATTACTGTCCTGCTGGTGACAAACAAATTTGAAGCAGCCCAGTTTAGGGCTAGGAATTTAGACCTACCAGCATCTTGAACAATTTTTGATTGGAGGAGGCTCTGAATTCCTGTATTTTCAGACAGCTTGGAGTAATGTAGAGCATTATGTCCAAGAGTATCTGCCAAATTTATGTCTGCGCCTTTTCGGACAAGGGCTTCTACAATGGCGAGATTTCCAGCTTCACATGCTAGCATGAGAGAGGTTCTAGGGAGTGTAAGCAGACAGATAGTGTAAAGAAGGACAATGACCATAAGAGAGAAGCAGTCCAACCATGTTGTGAAGGTTTTTGGCCCTAGGCTCATTTAATCTCCTGCAAAGCAAACGCTTTCAGATTCAACCTAGCCAAAGATTGTCCCTTTTGGCTCAAAATGACCAAAAGCAGTCATTCTATAGCCAGTCAGGCAACTGTAGCAAAAATTGCAGAGTATTGTGACACCTTAATGACGAACAGATTTTACAGACATAAGCATTCAGACTTTAGCCCCCTTTGTCAGATTGAATATAGCGTTTGTGATCGTACAACAACTTTTTAAAATCATCATACATCATCATAATTCTATCTAAGTCACAGTACAAAATACTTGGGAGTGGGTGGAAAGACAGCCGATAACCAGAGCATTAAGCACAGAGTGAGGAAAAACAAACTTTTCTTGTACTCTTATGCCAATTGAGAAATCTGAAGTAGAGTAGACCTTTGGTCTAGATGGGCGGGGTAGAAGTCTAAATGAATGAATGAATGAATGAAGAATTCAACTCTTGAAGGGATTGGGGATTGGCCTATGCTTATTGCAACCTCTGCCACTGCTAGTGGGAGCTGAGAGTTTAGTACAGCAGTGGTTAAACGGCTATACTGCAGCCAAAACTGTGCTCCTCCGGTGGCTTTATGGGGCCGGGAGGGGGGTCCACCTATTGATGGGGACGGCGCAATGCAGTCACGCAGCCCCCCTGTCCCCTCCCCTCCCACTCCTTCCTTCCTTCCCTCTCTCCCCTTCTACTGTTGTGACATGTCCCGGCCACATTCCGGCCGCCAGCGCCGGCAGTGTAACTTGAAACTTTGGAATTTTTAAAAAAATTGCACTGGGCCGCATTACGAGCTGACCTGGGCCGCATGCGGCCCTCGGGCCGCAGGTTGGACAAGCCTGGTCTAAATGAATGAATGAATGAATGAATGAATGAATGAATAAAGAAAGAATTCAACTCTTGTAAGTATTGGGGTTTGGCCTATGCTTACTGCAACCTCTGCCACTGCTAGTGGGAGCTGAGAGGTTAGTACAGCAGTGGTTAAACGGCTATACTGCAGCCAAAACTGTGCTCACGACCCGGGGTTCAATCCCAGGTAGCCGGCTCAAGGTTGAATCAGCCTTCTATCCTTCTGAGGTCGGTAAAATGAGTACTCAGCTGGGGGGGGGGGGGTGTAGCCTGCATAATTAACTTGTAAACCGCCCAAAGAGTGCTTGAAGTGCTATGGGGCGGTATATAAGCAGCACGCTTTGCTTTGCTTTGAGTTGCTAGCCCCAGCGGTTGACTAAGAATGGGAGACATGCTTATTTTGGAACAGGCTGGTTCCAGCTTTATACAGCATTGCTAACAGTTATTTGATACAGACAGGACTCTGTTAAGAGCAATATAGTTAGAAGCCTTACATGAGAAGGACAACAATTCCAGGACAAAGCAGCTATTGTTGAAAAACCTTCCAGTCCTCCTTTCCAGAAAATACAAGACAGCATCACAGTGTAAGACCTGATAACTGCTGGACCACCTGTACCATGAAACTCAAGGCCGATTAAGATCCTATTATGGGATGCCAACAGATATTCCAAGAACACTAATGATGCTTGGGTTTGCCACCTATGACATGGTTAGGCTAGCACTGCCCAACTACAATTGAGAAAGCATCCATGAGACACTTGCCCTTCTGTTTTCTCCTCCTCTTTATATTAATCATGAATGATCATACACAAACCTGAAATACCATGTCAAACCATAAAGATGCATGACATGCCTTTCAAAAGGGTTTGTGTTCTTAGATGAGTTCCTTCTCCATGATGTTTAGAGGTTAGATTTTGCTGCACTTGACAAGGGAAATGTTTGTTTTACCAGCATGTCTTGGGAAGAATCCATAATGCAAAAGGTTGTCATTCTTTACTGCACTGAAAAATTTTGGTAATAATCCCAAAGAAGGAAAGAACATCCTCCTTAATACAGCTCACAAATTGAATTTTGTTTTGTTCTGATATTTCAATGCTATGTTAAACAATAAAACTCCTGGACTTCCTAGCAGGCTAAAAAAAAACCTCTTTTAAATATCTGGACGTAAACAAGATGTGTTGTAATAAAGTTCATGCAAAGTTAATTTCTACATTTGTCCTAAATCCTGATTTGACTGCTTCACTCAAAGAAATTATTCTGAATGAGACTTAGAGTTCTGGTTCACATTGAAAAAGTCTGAGTAAGTTAGCTTTATTGTACCTTCCATTTTTATCTCTAGAATTGACATCTGCTCCATGCTCCAAAAGATATTTGCAAACATCAGTGTGTCCATTTTGTATGGCATGTAATAAAGGTATATTCCCATCCTAAGTGGGGGAAAAGAGTCCAAATATAATCAGTTATTGAAACATCACAGAGAAAGCTCAACATTCTGCACTCAATCGGTCTGGATAGCAAGAGCTGGAGCAGAATCAGAAATGAAAAACAGGCTAGCTGATCTTTTGTGAGAGATGTGTTTCCCATTTTTTAAACCTATTCCATGCTTTTTGCTGAAAGCAAAATGACGGTACCATACACAGTCGGACAGTTACAGCCGTAGCCAGACAGAGATACTGTATAGTTCTTTGGATTGCATCAAACACACATTTATAGACACAGGCCTCCAGTTCAACATCATGCACATAAAATGGCATATATGTGAGAAACTTAAAAGGAAAACTTGTTTGCTGTCCCAAAAGAAGGGGGTCAGTCAGTCTTGAACAGAACTAATAGTTTGGTCATTTTCAAATTAGGTTTTAGGAACTAAAAGATTAAAAGCCATTAAAAAAAGAAGAATTAAAACTGCCCTTGAGAGAATCACTACGTACCGCATCTTTAACATTAACCGGACACTTGTGTTCACAGAGAAGCTGAGCTACTTGAAGGCAACCGCATGCAGCTAAAAAGCAAAAGAGTGTAAAATTAGAAGACTCTTAAAAACATCTTGCAGACAGGGGAGCTGTACCAGGCTGTTGCAGCAAACATAAAGAGAAATATTTCACCACTTTATAATAATAGTAAAATTTATTACAGTGTTAATATTTTAGTGGACAAAGCCAGAATACCACAATATGAACGTTTTGGTTGCATAACCATCACTGTCCCTTTCTAGTGTTCATCCCACCCCCCCTCAATCTCTCTCTCTGTATGTGTGCGTGCATGCTGGGATTTGTGGCCCAAAACATTTAGAAGACACTGACAGTCAGGTATTTCTTTGATTTATATCCAGCTTCCCTCCCAAAACTGGCACACAAAGCAGCTCACAGCAAAATTAAAACAGTTATATACAAAAATAGAGCAAAAGCAGTATGTGTGTGTGTGGGGGGGGAAATTGCAATAAATTATCATGTACAACCATAAACAATAAAATAACTATAATAATATTCTGAATTGAAAGCAATTTTAAAATGCACCAGTCATACTGAAAAAGTTCAATGCCAAACAATTAAGAGACCTTCCCTTAACAGGCAACTGCTGAAAACCTCCAGAAGGAAATTGGCCTTTGCCTCCCATCAATAAATAAATAAATAAATAAAAATAGCAGGGAAGGTATCAGCCTAGCTACTTGTGAAAGGGAATTTAGCAACCTGGGAGCAGCCACCAGACAGAGAAAATGAATTAGTTTTACAAATGTTAAAACATCTATGGAGTCATGTGCAACAAGAGTTTTCTGAGCCTTTGTGCGTCACACAAACGAAAGGACTGTATTTTTGCTGCTTCTACACAATAAACTTGGGTAAGCTGATAACTGGACAGCACATGAGAACAAACGCTGCTGTTGTTGACCATGTTGCTGTTACTTCCCTATCCGACTACTGAGCATCCACACACAATGGTGTCCAGTGCAGTTCAGTTAAATATTCTGTAGTGAATGGGAAGTACTGTCTTCACGTAAGAAAATATTTAAGAGAAGTCAGATCAGTTATTATTATTTGCCTAGGCTTCTTAGTGACGCAAGCCCTTCATTTTCCTTCCAAAGTGATCAACCAGATGTTCTAGAAAGCAGGGTGCAAAAGAGGGATAGTCACACTTTGCCTTCCCAGAAGCCATGGGTTGTTCTGGAGATTGGGACCTCACAGGAGAAAAAAGGTGTAGGTAGGGTGGAGAAAGAAACAGCATTACCTGCATAGTGTAAAGCTGTTTTCCCAGAGTTGTCTGTGCTCTCCAGTGGACATTTAGCCTGCCGAATGAGACAGAAGGTGTGTTAGTATGACACGGAACATAACGCATTGTGAAGCTGATTGCTATTTTCAGAGAACTGTCAGGCGTGGGGCAGTGCAAGTCTGGAGAGCCATCTAGAGTTTTCTAGAAGACTGGCAGAAAACCCCAACCATTTCCATGACATGGACCAACTTCATTTCTTTAACTGTAGTGTCCTAGACAGCTTGGAAATTTTTGTATGATAGTGCCCAGAACAACCTACTCCCTCAGATGGCTGAGAGATTTTGGGAGTTCTCACCCTCAAAAATTAGTATTTCCACTCTCTAAGGTCTCTTGAGAGGGTAAAGTCCAACCTGTTAAAGTGGAACAAGTACATCCTACAAAACAGGGATATGAATAGCGGCATGAAGAACTGAAACATTCTTTGTAAAGAAATCATAAAGCCTTTCTTAAACCTATCCATTTATACAATCAACTCATACAGATTTTGAAAAAAAAATCAGTGAAACGATCCCCACAGGTAAATGACAAGAGGTATTGAAGCACACAAATGAAAAGTACAGAACAACTTATCCTTTCATATCAGCTAACAAACACAGACTGCAGCCATCTCAGACAAGGACCATTTTTAGCTAGCAGATTAAGTGCCCTCCAGAATAAACACAGTGTTTATTTTGGCAACCGCAGCTCCTATTACTCATTAGGATCACGCCAAAGCAATCCTCACAGATGTTACAGATAAAAAAAATTTGCACTGCTATCCCAGACGACCACGGAATCATAACAGCAAACTGCAATTCAGGCAGCAGAACCAGCTCTACCATACGGCAGAGTGAGGTGACCACCTTAGATAACAGATGCTAGGGGCTAGCAGAGTCTGATCCCTTTGGACTCCAACAGACCTGTGAACAGGACCATAGCCAGCCCTGGGCTCCTTAAATCAGTCTGCTATCTCTTGAGTTTCACCAAAGAATACTATCCGATAACCAGTGGGGTAGGTTACTCCCCACCGGGTAGGTGGGGCTCGTCAGCCATGGAAGGCAGCCCCTCTAGGAGAAGGAAAACTCCAATTTCAAACCTCCACTGCCTTGTGGCTATATCCTCTCATTGAAAAGGCTTCAGGAGTTAACCTCGAGGCAAAATCCGGAGCTGGAGTCCCGAAGGCAGCATGTGTCGTTCTGCCAACTCCTGCGACATTGCTGGAACCGGTTGTATTGGCTCTTGCCTTTCCATTGGACCATTTCAGCAATGTGGAGAGGGGGGATCTGCTGCTTGGGTAACAGCCTATCCTTCATATTACCTTACCCAGGCTTCATGCTCTGGAGAGGACACTCCTCGATTCAGAGCATGTTACCATAGTCTCTCGAGACTGAAGGATGCCTATGCTATGCTAAACCAGTGGCAAGACAAAATTCAAGTAACAGTTTAATTATCTTGTTTCCCTGAATATAAGACCTAACCTGAAAATAAGCCCTAGTGTGATTTTTCAGGATGCTCGTCATATAAGCCCTACCCCAAAAATAAGCCCCAATTAAGTGAAACTGTGCCCTCCACCACTGTGCAGCAACCAGAAGAAGATGGCATGATGGTATTTGAATAAATGTAGATGGCTGTACCTTTAAAAAAAAAACCCTGAAAATAAGACCTAATGTATTTTTGGAGCAAAAATTAATATAAGACCCTGTCTTATTTTCGAAGAAAGACGGTATCTTCTGTCTAGTGGGGAGGAGGTCATGTTTTATCTATCTCCTCAGGGAGCAAAGTTCTTGAACCAGCCCCATCAGACATCCAAGTATCATATGCAAAAATTGGAAAAGTTAAGGATTCTGGAAGTGACAGTCCAAAAAAGTAGCTTTTCCAAAGTCCGGTTCTTGGAAGATTCATATATGTCACTAGCCAGTAACGTAAGTCAGAAGTCCTAATGTGTACGTTACAAGCTCACAATAAGCATACTTAGAAAAGTGGGAAAGAGTTAATATGCAGAGAAAGGTATTTTGTGGTGTCAATGTCCATGCTATGGATGACTCAAAGGTATCAGCTGATGGCTTACAAGTATCTGCCAATCAGGTTGACTGGGGGAATCTTAAATTACCAGCAAGGTTTTCCTTCATCTTTCTTGGACCTTCCTCTCTGCAGCTGGGCATGAGGGAGCGTTGATCTCAGGACAATGAGAGGTGAGAAATAATTAGACACTGTGAGTGGAATCTGAGCTGCAATGAGCTAATCATATCAGAGACGATGTGTCTGTGTGGCTGTGCTGATTATCCAGAAATGCCTATATGTGTTTCTGTTTTCCTTTTGTACCATTTTTGTACAGTATTTTTAAAGTATGTGCCCAGGGACTTTTTTTCTGTGATTTCCCTACCTTGTAGTAACTTTTATTTGAATATGCTACACTCTGTTCTTTTAAGAGTTAATAAAAATGTAGTTCCTTCTTAGGAATACTTGAGAACTCTAGTTAAGTGCACTATCTTCTTTTAAGAGTTAATAAAAATTTAGTTCCTTCTTAGGAATACTTGAGAATTTCTGTTTGCTCATGCACCAGAGAGTTCTCTAGTTAAGGAAGGGGAAGCAAGCCACTAGGGCTTGGAGTTATGGGTGTGTGTGTGTGTGTGTTATTTCATTCATTGTACTCTTCAGATTCAAGGAAAGGGGCAGACTCCACAAGATCATCCTGGTCCCCTGCTTTTGAAACTGGGTTCATTTTGAATGGATGAAGGAAGGAGAGAGGGTGGCAGCTACTAACTGAAGTTGAGGCACCGGTAAGCTCCTCCATCAGCTTTCCATAAAGATTGGCTGGCAAATAAGGTTTATGTTAAAAGTGTGGGGTAAAACAGAAACACCCCCTCAAGACTTAAGATCTTTTCAGCACAAAGCAATTGGTAAATACGAAAGTTTCTGTTGTAGACTGTTGACTCTCCTTAAGTGGCAGCTTTAAAAGAAAATTTAAAAGCCTACAAGTATTTACAGGGGAAATGGAAAGTACTGCTGAAAGGAAACAATATATATATATATATATTTATATACACTTCACCTGAAGGAGCCTCTTGACGCAATCTGGATGGCTGTTCTTGGCAGCAAGAAGCAAAGCACTGTGCCCTGTATAAATATAAATTAATTTCAGATATCAGATCCTCTGAGAATGCTGAGGAACCTTATTAAAAATTAAAATATACTTATAACTTGGAACACTGCACAATATATCTACTAAAAGGGAACATGTACCTCTCCAGACTATAAGAACGCTTTTATTGTTGAGTGTACCAACACAGTATAATGTGCTGACCAATCAGACACTCAGAGCTTGCAACAGGGACTTTAGTGGACTATAATTCCCAAAAGCCTACCTGAGACTTATAGTTCTACAATGTCACTTTCCCAAGATCTGGGGATACAAATCTTTTCCTTATCTCTGCTCTGCTTTCAAGATTAAACAATGATCCAGTTGAAACTGAGCCAAAAGAGATCAAGAAAGTTACACTGCACTTCACTTATGTCCACAATGGTTTAAAATTCTATAAATCTCCAACACGTTCTGTGGTCTTGCAGTGCTCAGACCAAAATGATATTGAAGATTTAGAGGTTTGCAGAATGCTGCATCCTGTTTACAAAACCACTGGAGTTGTGGCTGGTTTTCAAGATATTAATTTCAATCATGGACATCATGTGGTGTGCGCTCCGCAAACGGAATTCAATGAAGACAGAAAGAAAGGGGGAAGGGCAGAGAGAACAGCTTAATGGCAAAACATATGCTTTGCATGCAGCAGCTCCAGCTACCGTGCTAAAAGCGTTGGAATGGCCATCTCCTGAATCCTTGGAGACTCCCTGCTAATCAGAAAAGGCAACTGAGATTCATGACTTGACATAAAGCAGCCTCTTCCAACCTTGTCCCCTTGAGATATACTGCTCAGGCTGGCTGGGAATGGCAGGATTATAATCCAACATACTGTATCTGGAGGGTACCAGACAGGGGGAAAAATGGTAGAGGGCATCTCCGTATGCTCATGTCTAAGTCAAGCATGAAAAGGTGAACTCAGCTAGAGACAACAAAAAAAGACAGGAGCAACACACACAACTCAGAGTACTGTACCTGTTCCGTCCTGTGATGTTACATCTGCACCATGTGTCAACATGATCCTGAGGCATTCTCCTTGTCCTTTGGCTGCGGCCAGGTGGAAACTGAAAGAGGGGGGAACGAGTTACAATCCATGCAGTTCTTTTAGCTGCTCTTTAGCTTCAACTCAGCTCTGTTACTTCCTTGTAAGCACCGGGGAAGTTACTAGTAGAGTCAAAACAGGCCTTGAAGATAATTTTATACAATATATTACTGCATTTATATCCCATTTTCACTTCTAGGAGCTCAATGCAAGGTATGCACAACCACCCTGAGAAGAACCTTAACCTGAGAGGCAGTATGACGGGCCCACCCCTAAGTGAGAATTTGGACTGTGGTCTCCCCACCTGAAGGCTGACGTTCAAACCCAGTCTTTCCCAATCTGAAGCATGCCAGTTGTTTGCAATGATTATGTCATCAGCTTCAGCCAGCATGGCCCATGGTCCTCAATTAGGGTAGGTAAAGTAGGGCCCACAGCATGCGTTCCATTTCCCAAAGGTGTATTTTCTGCCTATGGACCACCCTATGCCTAGGTCAGGTGCTAGATATGAACATTCATTCCCCAGGCCCACCAAGGCTGCCCATCCCATCCTAGATAAGATTACATTTTTAAAAAAAACTGTATTGGGAGATTTCAAGAATACAGTAGGACCCCTGAATCCAGAGGGAGTTGGTTCCAAGCCTCCCCCGCGGATGCAGAAAAATGGGGATTATAGCGAACGCTATTATAATAGTGAATGCTATACATAGCATGTCTCTGGCTCCCTCTGTTGGCCAGTTTTGGTAATGACACAGTTAGAAATACATATTTTGGAGATTTTTCTTTTAATATTTTCAGACTGGGAATAAGTGAAGCAGCAGATATGGATCCTGTGGACTGTATCTCCAAAATACGGGTGCATTTTAAGAACAAGACCAGACAATACAATATCATTTTTAAAATACGTGATAGATTGAATTACACTGGGAAGACCAGCAAAAAACGGTAAGCTTCAACACACACTTAAATACAGCCAGAGAATGTCTAGCATCGGAAGAATGAGGATGAATGCAAAGGAATGCTACCATGTTAAAAGCCTGCTGTGAAAATTACAGAGCAGATCTTAGGAGCTCATGATACCACCAGGAGACTTTGTCAGATGACCTCAAGGTCTAATGGGTCTGTGAGAATTTACTATGCTAAAGTAAACAGCAATTACTGTAGGCCTATTTGAATCAAAGCATCTCATTTGGAGTTAACACACCAAATTCCCATTGGCTGGGCCTATTCTAGTGTGATTTACCATGTTAAGCAACAGGATTCTGGCTACTGTATTGTCTGCAGGGAGCTATGATGGGAAAAACATACGTATGTCTATAACCTCCCCGCCCAACATTCTACAAGTTATTTGGACAGTAACTATAAAAAGCACCTTCCTTCAATTAACTTTTAAGTGTGTTTCTTTTTCAAAGGCCAATCTGATGTCATCTGCACTAGCAGAACACAGCTTTACTTTGAAACAAATCTTATGGAGTACTTCAAGCACTTCAATTACTGTAAACTACGTAAGCCATATACAGATAATAATGAAATAAACATGGCTGACAGAGAGCCTGGGAATAGCAGGTCTTACGACATGACTATGTTTTGCGGGCCTGCCCAAGCCATGCAATTTGGTTACCCTGCAACACATAAGGCCTGCCCCGATGGTGGCGGCGTGGGGCAATTTGCCTCTGGCCTCAACAAAGCAAGGGACCTCCCCTGCCTCTCTTCCAGTGTGTACTGTTGGTCCTTGCCCTAGCCCAGCTACTGCAATCTAGCAACTGCTATATCGGGCTATTGACACACAACTCATTGTCTTCAGGTACCTTTCCTCACCCCTACTGGAGGCAAAAAAAAACGTGATTATGGGGCATGAGCGCCTCATGGGGCTTTGGTTTTCAATGGCAGCTCCTTGCTGCATTTCATATGCAGTTCTACCCCAAATTCACACACATGCGACACTTTTAAGACTGACATGTTTTGTCTGGCACAAGCTTTTGTAGATATATCCCAATTCATCATTATCAGAAGAAAAAAAAGTGGCAGATCAGAATTTGTGAGAAACTGCCTTCAGAGAGGCACATTTTCAACTAGCATCTCCTTTGTCACAGAAAAGGGCCAAATGGCATGTTTGAAACAGATCTACATCTTTTAAAACCCAAATACACTTAAGAAAACACTTTTAGAGTCTGTTGAAAGAATGCATTTTTTGGATGGGAATTGTATTTATGCAAAACAAAGACTGCAATTTGCTTACCATGGCACCAATGAATTGAACTTTATAAACATTTTGTTCCCAGGAAATGTTCCCGAAACCCTTAAAGCTTGGTTGGGCAGAGAAAGGCCCTAAGGGTGCCTGCCAACAGTCAAGCCTCTAAATTTGCTAGGAGATAGCAAGCTGTAAACATTCAAACAAAAATCAAATCCATTAAACTCAAATGAAGTTTACAAAAACAGAGGGATATTTTCAGGGGTTGAAACGTGCAAACCACACTCCTGAGGTGTTTATATTTCAACAGAATTTGCCATAATTAAAACACTTGTATAGTGACAGCTTGGCTGAAGCAATGACGGCATTAAACTTTATGGCAAATGTCTCTGTTTACATAGGAGACTGTGCCAAGTGTAACACACTTCACTATAACTGGTTTGATTTTCACTTGGGAGACAAACATAAAAAAGCCATTAATGAAAACCATATAAAAGCACCACCTTTCTCATCCTTAGTTATTCAGAAGTTAGAGGGAGACCAAACATTTTCCCCACAATTCCAGATTGCCTGAAGGAAAGGGGGACATAAAACAAATGATTTGTTAGCGTGCACACCTAATCATTATGTGGGAGTCCCAAAGCTTGGAAGAGTCACTTGGAATTGAAATTTTGGAAAGTTCTGAACAAAGCCCCCAGTATTCCTAACCGCTGGCCATACGGGCTGTGGAATTCTGGTAACGATGGTCCAAAAAAGGTTAACTTTTCCAAGCTTCAGAAAGATGGCATGGTAGCACGACTATTGTGCAGAATGCAGGTGACTCATCGTCACAGACACAGTTTGGATGGGGGGGTCTGGCTCCTCTCTGGTGCCGCAGCACATGTCTTGTGTGTCGAAGGACGCTGGTTCTGTTCCTGCCTTCTTCAGTTAAATGGTCAAGTATTCTGGAAGCTGCAAGCAAGACCTCTGTGTGATGCCCTGGAGAGCTGTTGTTCGTTAGTTGAAGTCATATGAGGCTACAAGAGGAAATAAAACTGCCTGACCTGAGGTATGGAAAAGCATCCTACGTTGCAGCCAAAGCCGGCTCTGCTGTGAGGCAAAAAGTGGCAAAGTGCTGGGAGATGTGGAGGAGGGCAGTAGTGGCAGCTGCCAGGCTGGTCTCTCTATTGGACAGCAGATTAACCTGCTCTAAACAATATATGTATTCATTCATTCATTCATTCATGCGTGGCAAAGTGCTGGGTGATGTGGAGGAGGGCAGTAGTGGCAACTGCCAGGCTGGTCTCTCTATTGGACAACAGATTAACCTGCTCTAAACAATTTATGTATTCATTCATTCATTCACTCAATTTTCTATACTGCCCATCTAGCAAATTGCTAGTCTGGGCAGTATATAACGAGGAAAAAAGAACAATTTATACAGACAAATTGTGAATCCAAAGGCCTGGAGAGATATTTCTTCAAATTGCTTATCACTGATTTAGCCACAAACAGGCATCCATCAAGGTAGATTCCCTTCTTCAGCTGCTATGGCTACAGGCCTGTTCTGTATGCCCCAGGGCTGTCAGGGGAGTTCACAGAAAGGCCAGGACACAAGCCATTCCATTTCCTCCCAAGGACTCCAAGCTCAAGGTCTCCTCTCAGCCTGCAGGTTCCAAAACAGCAGTAATCCAAATCCTTGAACATTGCCCTCAATCATTTCAATCTCTATAAAAAGATTTATCTTCTAACCCGTTTGCACACAGGTGCTCGTCATTTACTAAGAACTGCAAGAAGAGTAGCAGTGGAGTGTGAATCAGTTCTTTCAGCATCACCAACACACAAAGAACCACTGCCACACAAAGAGAGGAGTTTAGTCTTGTGACTACCTACTCCTTGGAGACTATTCAGACACTCCGTTGAGGGACAACCAGTGCATAGACATGCCTCTTATCAGATGATTTGACCTGTAGCCTTATTTGGTACACAATGCAAGAAGACCTTATGCAAAGGGGGAAGGAGGAAAAAGAACTGCCTTCTTTCCATTGAGCTGGGAGGAAAGTACAGTGGTGCCTCGCTTAACGAGCGCACCGTTTAACAACGAATCCGCATAGTGACACATTTTTTGCGATGATTCCAATGGGCGAAAATCATATTGCGATGATCTAAAAACAGCTGATCGGTGGTTCCAAAATGGCTGCAAGAAGAATAAAATGGCGGCCCGCAGCGTTTTTACACCCTGCCTTCGCTTACTGAGGTGGCGAAAATGGCGGCCGGATGGGGAATCTTCGCTTACCGGTGAGTTTTCGCCCCATAGGAACGCATTAAACAGAGTTTAATGTGTTCCTATGGAGTTTTACATTCCGTATAGCGATGTTTCCGGATAGCGACGTTAATCCTGGAACAGATTAATGTCGCTATGCGAGGCACCACTGTACCTATGAAAGAACACATGGAAATGAAAAGCAAACCACACAGCTAGTAGAAAACTTGTACTATCAAGGGATACAAGAGGTCTCAGCACAGATTTATTTCCTGCATTCTGCTTCATGTTGGTTTGGTGCAGTAGTGGAGAATGTGTGGCCCTCCAGATTATGCTGACAAATCCCGTCATTCCACTTCCAAACCATGCTGGCTGACGCTGCAGGGACATGTAGAACAATATCATTTGATGGACCAAATTTCCTCACCAACAGTCTTGTGGGTGAGCCTTTAAAATTATGAGGTCTCCTTTCTCTTAAAAGTCATCTCATCTCTATTTTGAATTAACTGTGGCTTACTGTTGGCTGCATTCAGATATAACAACAAAAGAGGTACACAAGAATGGACTTGCACAAACTTTACATGCTCCCTCT